TCTTTACGGTCCCCCAAAATGTATATTGCCCTAGCTAAGGCACCAACGGATCCCCTTCTAAAAAAAGAAGTTAGGTACCATTTTTGAACACGTAATAATTAAATGGTTAATTAAGTTATACATAAGTCAAAAGCCTTTAAAGTATTTTACTTACTCAATCATCGACCTTTCAACTGAAAATTGGATAAATTAATTGGGGGATTAGAAAGAGTAGAATGCCGGTAATTCAATACTAATTAAGGTGTTTGAGAAGGTAAGGCAAGGCAATGAGGTCAATGTAGGGCCATATAAAGAATATACTTTAGTCTAAACGCAAGACTATCGTAAATATAGAATATACTTTTCTCCTTTTGTCGTTTGAAATTAAATACGTATTTGAGATTTTTTTTTTAATCATTAATGATCCCTATGTTATTTTAATTTTAATATGAGATTTGATTGTGTCTCATAAAGTTAGGTGTGTACGTATCACATTGTTTATAATCTTTAAAGCATTACCTCCTAATTATTTATCTAACAAAACTTATATGGATCTTTAACCTAATGATTATTAGGTCGTTATTATAACATTGTTGTGTTGTTGGTATGTCATTATTGTGTCATCGATATATGATCAATATATTGTCGTTACTAAAAAATAATCATTTCTGTAAATTGAATGTTTATTTGCAGCTATTTTCCCAAAAATTTATCATTTTATTCTCACATGTTTTCGATGCTTTCTTCATCCTTTTGGCTTCTATTCGAGTGATAAGAGGGGGCTAGTTAGAACACTCAACCTCAAGTGCATGGATGAATATTATGTGATTACTGTTTAAGCCTTCATTGCTCTCTAGGATATACCTGGTCTCTTAACAGTGTTTTTTTTTTTTTTTTTCCACTTCAGAAATAAAAATCTTTGATTTTCTACTACATATGGTCAAAACGCTTTATTTAATTCTGACTTTATTAGCATGTATAATGGCGATTGTATGGCCATATAAAGATGCTCTTAGATTTTTTTTTTTTTTTGAGGAACTTACTAGGACGTACAATAGAGATGTAATGCCTAGCGTCAAAACACATCATGTATTCATATAATAGATATTAAAAAGTTGACAACGTATTCAGTCAACATGTAATCGAGATTACTATCATAGAACCAGATGTTATGGAGTTAAAGTTGGGACAAAGACTAAATTTATGTTGTGTAACAAAAGTAATTATAACTAAATAAATAGTGGATTAATAGCCTCAAGCCGAAAACACCATCATACCAATGTTTCCATATGAATCGGTGACTCTAACTCAAATAGAAGTAGAAAATAAATACCTACAAAAAAACCATGAAAATAACGCTAGTTCTAAAAATAAAGGACTGTATATAGCTTGACTGTATACTCAATTAGGGTGGTGCATGGACCACAAAACTTATGGCTAAGAATGTCCAAGAAAACTCGGATTTATGTATTCACACACTTCTTAAAATTTTTATGCAACTCTCTTTTATAATTTGAGAATTTTCAAGGAAACAAAAATTGTACTCCGGTCTTTACAGTTAATGCCTCATCATTTTCACTTGCAAACAATAAGCACTTAAGTGTCAATTTTTAACCAGAAATGAAAGAGCAATTTTAACTCGGATATGAATGACTCGTACACTACCTTAACCCAAAAACCCTAAACATGAACAAAAGGAAAGGATGAGTAATATGGTCGGACTAAAACATTATTGAGGCTTTCAATCCAATCGAAGAAAAAATAAAACTTCTTGTAAAAAAAAAAAGTATATTCACACGTATCAAAATCTCTACGTAAGAATTCAAGTATTTTTCAAAAACAAAATAAATTAAAAAAACAAGAATAAAAGAGAGCAACAAGAAAGGCAGGGGGACCATTTTGCCAATACCACGTAGGTACACAGTTCGCCATAAACGCCATACAGCACCCGCGCTCCGGAACGGGCCCCGCCAAAATTTTCTAACGTGTCCTAATCTTCTCCTACGGACCCCACGAGGTTGGGGACCACACCTCTAATTGATTAAGCCGGCGGCTGTCAGACAAGTCAAAAAATTCTCAGTGGTCCCGCTTCTCAAATATCTCCACGTGTGAGGCCAAGATCTGCTCATCTTAGCGCGTGCTTCGAGCTGGTCCCACACAGTGGTCCAAGCGAGGGCAGCGCGACGCGTGTCCGGTCGTCGTTTTCCCGCGAGCGCCGGAGAGTGGAGCGACGCAATTCGTGGTCCCCTACTCCCCGGCCCTCCCCCTCCTTCATGCGTTCACCGGACACGGCGGACACCAGTAAAAGCCGATAATGGCGGTGCTGGTTCTGGGTTGGTGGTTCGTCACGCTAGCTAGGATGACGTGGAGGGCACGCTCCACGAGTTGTGGGATACTGCTAATGAGTGGCTAAATGAAAAAATAGTTAAATAAGGCATTCTCTAGATACAGTTTTGTACTTTCGTTTCGTTGTTGGGGAAGTTTCTCTCTTTACATGCATATGATGGTCACGTGCATTGGCACGTGTATGTAATTTTGGACTTTTAAATGGATGTTTAGTGAATCTCACAATGATAGCAAAAATGAGATTGAAATATCTTTTGAGTCTTTTAGAAAAGGTAGATTGCCGTCATAAAGTCATCAGCTAATCCTTTTTTTGTTAAAAAAAAACAATTGATGTTTGGTGATAGAGTTAAGGTATAGCTTGTGGGTGTAGAAATCTCTGCATGCCACTATTTGCAATTGGGAATTTGGGTTTTGGACGTATCAAGTTAAAGATAATATTTCAAAATTTAGATTTTATTCTTCTTTGGAGGGTTCTAAATTTTGCCCTGAGCCTTAAAATTCTAAGTTGAAGATAAAATCAATTAATTTATCTCAGGGGGTATCATTTGAAATTTCAAAAACTTAGGACCGACACTGGATCTTGCTTTTGATTACACCATAATTTTGTTTGGGCTACTCATGGATGCATGCATAGTAAAGGGTTCAAAGTTGGAACTATATGATTGTACATTTTGTTTCTTTTACCCAAGAGAATCATGGCATCAGGAATTAAACACAAGATCTCAAATGCATGAATAAATAATACTGTTATTGGCTTGAGCTACTAGCATTTTGCCTTGTCAACGTTTCGAAATGATGTTATCAACTTTCATTGAGAGGAAATGATAAGAATTTATTCACATATTCTATAGTCATAAACCGAAGGTGAATGAGATCATCAGATCACATATTATTACTCAAGTGTTGAATGTACTTATTTTTAGGCTTGTTAGCCAAAATGGTCCCTGAGATTTGCATAACTCATAACTTTGGTCCTGAGATTTGAAATCAATAAAAGTAGTTTCTGAGTTTGTCTATCATCAATAATTTTGATCATTCCTTCAAAAATTAAGGATCAAATGATAAAAATACCCTCACTCTAATAAACAATGGGCCAAAATATTGACAAAAATTGAGGATGTTTTGGTTATTTTATCTTTATTTAATGGAGATTTTTCAAGGAATGACCAAAATAATTGATGGTGGACAAACTCAAAGACCACTTCTATTGATTTCAAATCTCAGGAACCAAAATGAAGAGTTATGTAAATCTCATGAATCATTTTAGCTAAAAAGTTTATTTTTTATTAGTGACACATCACCTGTTACAAATTTGATCTAAAAAATTGATTTATACAGCTTAAAAAGCCTACGCAAACGGACAAAGCTTCTCTAATTTTTTTGTCTATTTCTTGTGTTTTATTACAAAGTAAACATCAAATCATTAATTATTAAACTAATGCACGTTGGTGATAATAATATGCCAAGAGTTTCATTGAGTTATCTTTTGCTTTTTGTTTTTCTTTCCTTCTTGTGATGCGAACTCTTAATTGTGAGTTTTAAAACGTAAACATAATGTCTCATATGAATAATGCTACATTTTTTATATTTTTTGTATCATATTTATATTATTTTTTTAATAAAGATAGGATACATCAACATATATAAGTTCCGGAGTGAGATGAAAATGCAATAAAAAATAACATTTTTATAAAGTAAAGGAGATCCCAACTACCCCCATAGTAAACCAACTTATGTTAAATTGGAATTATTAAATACACTTTTTAAATAAAAATTTCGCTTATCAAAACCAAATATTTACTTCTTTGACAAATCTTTGCTCATACCATTATTTTTCTTTGATAAGAAATTAAAATATCAATATATCCTAAGTTTACTATTTGCCAACAATTTCATATTTCTTTATCTCTACTAATTAATAAAACACTTATTGTCAACCAAAATTCTATAAATTTATCAGTTTAACTCTCTAATTAAAACAGAATATGAATAAGAAATATGGGGCACCACTTCCACATTCTCTATCACTCTCTTCCTCTCTCTTTCTATTTCAAAAATAAAAATAAAAAAATTTCTCACACTTTGTGCCATATGCTAGTATTATTAATGTGGACTCATCTTTAAAAACAGTTAAGTTCCACGTAAAACTAATTCGCAATACATAGATTAATCTAACTTTGACATGATAGTAGTTCAATTATTTGGTGTTTAATTTACACACTCAACACATCCTCTTACATGCAATAAATTTTTAAAATTTAAATTTAGGAAAATGATATTTACACATTTATTTTTACCTTTCACATACTTTTATTAATTTTTTGTCGTTTATACTTTTCAGCTAATTCGATACAATGACAAAAAATTGAGACGAATAGATAAAAAATAAAAACGAGTATGTGAACAAAATTATGTTAAATTTAATCAATCAGCAATAACTCAATTTTTTATAAACAAAAACAAAATTTTAAAATTTTCAAATGTGAGATTCATACTATTACCCGGCTTTCGTAATTAATTAATAAACCTGACAAAAATCCCACCATTTTTTCCTTGGAAAAGCGGTTTCTCGAGCACATTTTGCCCAGACTTAAAACCACTCTGTCCAAGTCTTTCTCTCTCTTTCTCTCTCTCTGTGTAAACAGCTTCACTATATATAAGCTATCAACCCTTCAAGCTAAACCCTTTCAATCTCTCTCTCTCTCTCTCTGTAAAAAGCTCTCATCTTTCTCTCTCTACATTTCTGAAAACACAGAGACTATATAGTCTACAGTGAACAGAGAGAGATATATATATAGATATACAAATCCAGCCATATATCTTTGTCTTCTTGTCTCTCCTCACAGAGCTTCCAATTCTTCATCCATGTCCTCTGAATTTTCGTCTCCACTTCTCCTTTTTTAATTCATTTTTCAGTCAGTAAAGGGAAAAAACAGAACGCCTCTGTTTCTGCCTCCGTCTGTAAATTGTTGTACCCAGCTGCACCCAGCTGATCATCCGTATTCATGGCGTACCACAACCACCTCTCCCAGGACCTCCCTCTCCACCACTTCACCGACCAAACCCACCACCAGCACCAGCAATATCACTCGGACCAACCCGACCAGAACTCCAAGCCCCCCGAGCCCCACCACCCATTTCAGCCCGCCCCCAATTGGCTCAACTCCGCCCTCCTCCGCAACTTCACCAACACCGACACCAACCCAACCAACAGTAACAACGCAAACAACAACGGTGGCGGCGTCTCCAATTTCCTCAACCTCCACGTCACCGCCTCCGACTCCGCCGCCTCCCAAGCATCCAACCAATGGCTCTCCCAGTCCCACCGCCCGATCCTTCACCGCAACCACAGCGACGTTATTGATGACGTCACAGTTGCCGGCGACTCCATGATCGCCGCGGCGATGTCCCACGACTCCGCCGACCTCAAGCCCGACAGCATCCTCAACAAGAACGACGGCGGAGTCGTCGAGAGCGGCATCCCAGGCGGAGGCGGAGGGGGAGATGGCGGGGTCATGAACTGGCAGAACGCGAGACACAAAGCGGAAATTTTGGCGCACCCGCTGTACGAGCCGCTGCTGTCGGCGCACGTGGCGTGCCTGCGGATCGCGACACCGGTGGACCAGCTGCCGAGGATCGACGCTCAGCTGGCTCAGTCGCAGAATGTGGTGGCGAAGTACTCTGCCTTGGGGAACGGCATGGTCGGCGATGACAAGGAGCTTGATCAGTTCATGGTAATACTCTTTGCCTTTTTTTTTTAATGACTTGTGTTTGCTTATGAATTGTCATTGTAGTGGCCAATGAGTCATCAAAATTGGGTAATTGGCTATAAAAATTGAAGGGCTTAAATTTAATTAAAGCCAAAATTAGTCGATTAGTAGGAGATATTTGATTGAATTACTCAATTTGGTTTCACAATTCAGAGTTTATTACTCGTTTCATGCTCAATGTTTAAGGTTTAATGATAAATTTTCTTGTCGGTTATATCAAGCATATTAATTACGTATTAGGTTTTATTAATAATTATGTAGTCTAATGACACTATATTAGATTTTAGTTCGTTGAAGGAAGTCTTGATTTTATGTATATGAACGACAATTGTTGAATAAAAAAAATTGGCTCTAGGATTTAATTTTCATATGGAGATGGGATCTTCATTTTTATTTGTAAATTGAATGAAAATCCAAATTGGTAAGATTAGTCGGATATGCTGTTTTTCAGAAGAAGAATTTTTTCTTTAATTTGGTTTTCAAAATTCAGAATTTATAACTTGTGTCATACTCATAATTTGTAGATTTGGGATTTAATCAATAATTTAGTCTTCGTTCCATTCGAAAAAGTCTTGAATCTATTGGTACAAAGGAAGAACTTGGTACACAAAGAGATGAGATGGTTGAAGATTTCAAGGAACATAGGGATCTGAAAAAGCGTTAGGGCCACAAGGGAGGACAGTGCTTGCTGAGGGCTGACACAACAAAAGCGAAGCCTCGGTAAAACCACAGTTCTGAATCCCCCAAACGTTTTTTTTTTGGTTGAAGAACATGCGGGAAGACAAAAGCTGAGATTTATAGCACAACAAGACAACTCTTGCTCTCTGCAAGGACACTGGCAAATTACACTTCTCCATTCAAAGATCCAAAGGTTAAAAAAAAAATAGAATAAAGATACGCCAGAACATCATAGAATTGTTGTTTAATTTTACATCTACTTCTTTCTAACGAAACTCGTAACTCTAGTTTCTAGCACCTACTCATTTTTAAGCATTTGGTGTATACATTAATTAGGTTATAGTTTCTTTTATTAAAGAACATACTATTAGTATTATTTTGATAACATTGGTAGATACGTCTTAGTAGTTAAATGAACTAACGTGCTATTGATGCATCACTGATACAAGAATTCACCCTTTAACAAAGGACCAACGTTCTCAATGGAGAATTTCCATATGGGATACGTATAATATGAATTTTAAACCTCATTATTAATTACGAAAATTTTGATTTGTTTGTGTTGTTGATGATATAGAGGAATTATGTTTTGTTGCTTTGTTCTTTCAAAGAACAACTGCAACAACACGTCCGGGTGCATGCAATGGAAGCAGTAATGGCTTGCTGGGAGATTGAACAATCACTTCAAAGCTTAACAGGTAAAATTTTGTGATCATAGTGATTCCATGGCTCACGAGCACCAAAGTTATATATTTTCTCATACAAAATTGCACCAACAGGAGTTTCCCCCGGTGAAGGAACGAGTGCTACAATGTCGGATGACGAAGATGACCAAGTAGATAGTGATGCAAACTTGTTTGATGGAGGTATGGAGGGTCATGACAGCATGGGATTCGGCCCCCTTATCCCGACAGAGAGCGAAAGGTCCTTGATGGAGCGCGTGAGGCAGGAGTTGAAGCATGAACTGAAACAGGTACAAAGTCATGAAACTGTTAGCTGTGAATCTGTTACATTTCCTCTCTTACTGATATGGAAATATTTTGCAGGGTTACAAGGAGAAAATCGTAGACATAAGAGAGGAGATTTTGCGCAAGAGAAGAGCCGGAAAACTTCCTGGTGACACCACCTCTGTCCTAAAAGCTTGGTGGCAATCACATTCCAAATGGCCATATCCAACTGTAAGTTTGAGAAGCACTTCTAGTTTTAATTTTAATCATTCGAAAATCTGTTTAATTTCAGCTATCATAAACCCTAAACTCATTTCATGAATCCACAAATATTTGTTTTTAACAAGATTTTCTTGAAAAAGAACACGTTGTAGCTTGCGTTCACATTTTGCTCATCGATATCTAAATTCCCATTGTGTTCGTATCAGGAGGAAGACAAGGCTAGGTTGGTACAGGAAACCGGTTTGCAATTGAAGCAGATAAACAATTGGTTCATCAATCAGCGGAAGAGGAACTGGCACAGCAATCCTTCTACCTCCACGGTTTTAAAGAGCAAGCGCAAAAGGTATACCAATTGAACCATTCATTCGTCTTAGGTTCAGTTTTGCATGAGCTTTACACCAACTTTAATTTGAAAAAAAAAAAGTAATGCAGGTGAAAACAGCAGTGGCGAGCGGTTTATATAAATTGGAATAGGAAATGAGAGCCAGTCGAGATATCGTTCGTGCGCTTCCACTACATTTACAATTCGAAGATAGAAACTCTGAATAGCGAGAAGACTTCAGGGTTCCGGTGAAAACAATCATATATTGGTTTCTTCAGAAAGAAAAAGGCTCACTCTGATTCTGATGTTGCGATTATAAACCCGATATGAGCCGTTACACAGGTATGCTCAAAGGATGCAGAAGATCGAAGCGTATGTAATATCATATATCATTAGGAATTCAGGAGTATTTAGGAATTGTGTTACTGAAACTGTGAATTGGATAGTCCACCAGAGGGCTTACAATTTTTTGTTTATATCTTCATTTTTGTGAATAAGGTTAGTGAGGGGTTGTGGGGGTGTACAAAGCAATAACATGAGCTTTTGGTTCCTTACATTACACTAATGATTACTGCTTTTTGTTGTTGAGATAATAAATTTGTCAGTAAATTATGTAAAATTTTTACGCTTGTATCGTTGACGCTCTTTCGTGGTTTATAAATTATGTCATTCAACCCCTCTTCGAGCATTGCTCAAACCACTCTCGAGCAGAAGCTCACATTCTGATTGACTCTGTAAAATTCTAGAAGTCGAAATTTCCGAGTAAATTCCGGCTACAAATGGATGCATATTCGGTTCATACCAAGCGCACATGTGCACGTACACTTGAAAATTCGGCATTTTTGATCATCTGATTGCTCGACTCAAAACTGGAAGGAAAATGAAATTATGTGCCTACATGCCCAAAAAAGCCGATGTAACGGAGGTTTCAGCCATGAATGCAGAGCAACCCTATGCAATATGGCTTGGAGATTAAGCAATCTCAAAAAGAAAAACTAGTGGCAAAACTCAGCTCTTCATAAATTTTGAAACAAAACAATCAAATCAAATCAAAGAAAAACTAGTGGCAAAACTCAGCAGTTCATAAATTATAAACAAACAATTTGATCAACGTCTGCAGGAAGACCGATCTAGCAAATCAGAACTCGGCATTGTTCATCCCTTGCGACGCTGCATATGATCCGCCATTTGAAAAATGAAGGTATGCAGCGGCAGCAGCCCCTTCTGCTTCCCTATAAACATTCCCGTCATCGAAATTAAGCGCATAACTCTGTGGATCATAGTGAAACTGCACCCTTTTTTTCTTGTAAATCGTACTAAACGATCGGATGAAGTTCTTCCACTTTGGTCCTGCCAAAACCTCCAAAACCTCTCGCGCTTTCTTCACCTTCTCCGCCAACCAACTCTCTTGATCTCCTTGTTGTGGTCGCAGCAGATATCTCTGTGCTCCAGTCCTCCTTCCGCACAATCCCCATAAACAACCACATGAAGAAGATGGATCTATTTCTTCATCGTAGTACTCATCCTTCTCCTCCAGTGGCGATGGAAAATCGTAAACCGAGGACATATTCTCATGTGGGTTTGCCATGAGGATTCAAAATTTGAGATCAAAAGATGTGATTTGATGCAAAAGGATGATCAAATCCGGAGAAATGTGAGTGTTTATATACAGAATGTATAATGTAATTAATAATTAATTATGTAATTAGTGCTAGCTAGCTAACAGCCAATAGCTAAAGAGAGTTTGAAGATTTCTTCAATATGTGTTTATCTTTCTGTCTTTGTTACAGATCAGAGAGAGTCGGACATTGAGTGTGTTTTGACTTATATGTGTTAGGAAATTGCGTGTGCCGGCCCTTTGCCATTTCTCATTTCCCATTTGCAGATGTGACTTCTGGGGTACTTGTATGGCATCTGTTAATTGACAGTTAAAAACAGACCAAACTGTTTTTTTTGTTTTCTTTTTTTTTTCTTTTTCTAACAATTAAACACCGTTATAGGTACAAATTGAGAAAGATATGTGAGAAGTAAAAAAGTAAAAATTGAGAAAGATATCTTTTGCCATTATTCTTCTTCACTTCATTCTATCTGACAGCTAAAAATTGAGAAAGATATGTGAGAAGTAAAAAAGTGTGTGGATAGCACTACTCAATTTATATTTTAGAGTTATTTCGTAATAAACTTCAGATGAGAAATAATGACTTCTTATATGTAAGGAGCTAAGCAGTATTCTAACTTATAATTAGTGAAATTTTGTGACCAATTTTTGCTCAGAAGACCTTATTGTTCTAACATTAGCCATTTTGTTAGCTATAATTTTAAGGTTTTTTAATTTGAAATTAATCCAGATTTTTGTCATATTTAATACTCGTTTTCTTTTCTTTGCTCGCTTGGTTTCTTCGTGCTTGCCACTTGCCACTACCTGATTAATATATCTTGCGTAAACTTATAGCCATGACAGTGGTTTAGGGTATACGATTATTTAATTATCTCTATTAATTAATAAAACATTTATTGTTAACCAAAATCCGATGAATTTATCAGTTTAACTCTCTAATTAAAACAGAATATGAATAATAAATATAAGGTATAAATGTAATTTCACACAACCAAATTTTGCTGTTTTTTTTTCAAACCCTCATCTACATGTAATCCTAATATATTTCTAATTAAAAAAAAATAAAAAAAATGAAAAAAAAAACTTCCCACTCTTACATTCTCTATCACTCTCTTCCTCTCTCCTTCTATTTGTGTGTGCCCATATGCTAGTACTAATTATAATATGATTCGTAATTGATTACTACGGCTAGTGATTTCCTTGTAAGTGATATGTATTAGGTTCGAATCTCATGGATGGTGATTTCAATACAAAATTAGGTTGCCCATTTGTGTGGCATAGCCAAACTCCCCCTCTCCTTAGTGTAAAATATATCACTATACTAAAAAAAAATTATAATATGTCTCAAATTAAACAACCCAAATTTCAATTTCTCCTAAAATTATTTAATTAAACAACTACATAATAAGTAAAAATACAATACGAGTTCCTGGCCTTATGAGCCCAGTTTTTAAGTTGGAAGAGAAATGGGCTTTAAACTCGTCTAAATTGTCAGCCGAACAGCCCGGCCCAATAATCAACTGCCCCGATATCCCCCGCGGGATTTCTTTCAACTCTGAAGCCAAAAAATCCCCACCGTTTCTGATCGTACGGAGCCTCGAATTCAACCGAAAAATCTCATCCGCCATATCAGTTGCAGAACCCTAGCAGATGACGACACACTTGTAATTGCATTATCAAAACGCAATTAATCTTTAGCTAAACGCAGCAATCTCCGGACCCAACGGCGAACACTTGGCAGGCGGAGGCGCCGTCGTCAAGCTCTGCTTCGACTGCGCCAGCAACCCCCCGAACCTTCTGAGGGAGATAATCTCGTCAGCTCGGTTCACGTCGTCCTCGAAATCCCTGGCGTAGCTCGACGGCTCGTAGCCGAAGTCGGCCGAAGCCAATGAGTGCCGGCTCCTCCCCCGCCTCCTCTGAGCGGCGCCGCCGTTCGCCCGGCTCTTTGCCTCCTTATCCTTATCAGCCGCCTCAGCAGCGAACTCTTCCTCGTTCTCCAAAATTTCGTCAAGCGCATTGCGGCTCACCTTCTCCTCGAGCGGCGTCGTCGGGATGGACAATGCCGAGAGCCGAGCCGAGAAGCCGTTGACGAGGAGCTGATCTTCGGCCTTGCTGGTGTCGTCCTCGAAGTTCAAGGCGTAGCTGGACGGATCATAGCTAAAGTCGGCGGAGGCGTTGCGGCGCCGTACTCTCCCGGACCTGACTCCGCCGCCGATCTTTGATATGAGGTGCACGCAGCGGTCTTTGATCTCCGGCGGCAGCGACCTCGACGGAGGTGTGCGGGCCCTCTGGCTGTTGCAGTTGTGGTAGTGGTCGGCATCATTGTCGAGAACGTCGAAGGGGTGAGTGCTCATGCTGGAGAAGCAGGCGGGGAGGCAGATTGATCGGGAGTGGCGCTTGTGGTGGTGGAGAGGCGACGTCGGCGACTGAGACCGGAGTTCCTCGTTCGGCATCGATAGGAATGGAGTTTGGAGTATTTTCTTTCTTTTTATTTTCTCGTGAAACAAACAGGCCTCTAAAATTTTGGTTGTTGATGGAGAGTGGAGGTGGCGGGTAGAGGCGTATTTATAGGTTGAGGGAGAGTGAGTGGTGGGGGGGGGGGTGGGGAAGCGGCATTTGCGGCGTAAGCCGTAGCTGGAACACCCGAAGAAGCCGTGGGTCGTGCGTGGTACCGTTTTTTTGCTTTTTTTTTAAATTCATTTAAATTTAATTTAATTTAATTTGAATTATTTTTGGATATTTCGGTGTGAAAACCGCGTTGTGGACAATTGGTGGACTCAAAGAGAGTTTGATTTTGTTTATTTATTATGGACCTGTCATTAGTCTGTAATCCAAATTAACATTCTAATTAAGGATTTACATGTCACATATTACAAATCATACTTCTAGATCGTGTTTAATTGATCAAGTTGTACCCAGGGTTTAAAATATTGGTATCAATGGAAATATAAACGGATATATCGAATATCAATATTGGTTGTTTTTTATGGAAATGATGGAAATTTAAAATAAAACTTTAGGGATTATTAAACATTGGTTTGGACAAAATAGAGTTTCTTCGATATTTAACAGATATGTCAAACATATGGACAATATTTACCAATTTTAGCCTAAACTTAAGAGTTTCTCCGATATAAGGTGAAGATTAGACTTCTCCCCTCATTTTCATATCTTTCTTCAATTTTTTTTTTTGAAAATTTTCATGGAAATATCGGCCGCATTGAAGATAGTTTAAACTTTGGTTGTACCATGGCCAATGGTGTCCAAGTGTTACATGCATTACTCTGTAACATTTTCTTAATCGATCATGGTCGTTTCTGCATAAAAATTACTTATCATATCAATGATTATAGTTAGATATTACTTTTCTTATATACAAATAATATTTGCCAGAGAATTCGAATATGAGATTTTTTTTTTTTTTTTTTAAAAGAGGGACAATTGGTGGCAAGCCACAGGAGGCTAGGAAGACTCACAGAGGCATGAGTGAAAATGTTTTCTAATTAATTGAGTTACAAAACCTTGCATGATCGTGATTATTGTGATATTTGTTTTAGCGTCATCCATAATGTTAATGATATGATTAGCATCGATTATAGGTTGAATCACCAGCTGATTAATGATTAATCAGGATGGGAAGATAACGATAACAAATAATTAAAAATTAAGGAATGGGGTTGACTGGTTTTCTTAGGGGAGTCACACTTCTTAAGTCTGATTTAAATCTTATCTTATCTACTAATCCAAAACTGGATGTAGCCAAAACAAACAGAATACAGTTTTGTCGTATTTGATTTCCCGCTTTCATGTGCATGCATAGAAAGATGCCATGTGTTCGGACGTGATTGGAGGACAGCAATAACTTATCACCGGGCACATGGAAAGCGGTGGTGGTGATTCTGGCGAAGCGTGTTGTGAACGAGAAAATTTTAGTTGTGATGAGAATATAAGTGATATACCACGTGTTTTAATAGGAGTGGTGGAAAATTTTATTGTTTAAGTTATTAACTTTTTAGCACACATATTCTACTATTTGTATAGTGACACGTGATGTACCACCCCATGTACCGGTCACATTGAAAAATCTCTCATTGCGAAGGTTCCCACACAACTTCCTCCAGCCGTCCAATGACATGTGAAACACGCCTTCATGATTTTAATTAGGGGTGGGTTTGGTTAGGGATGGACAACGGTTATGGCAAGCGGGTAACCGCGATTATTTACCCATTATGTCCATACCCATATAACTGTTTACTCGTTGGGTAATTGCATAAATGGTTATACCTAGGCCTGGTAAACGGGTCGTGTCTGTCGTGTTCGTGTCGTTTTCGTGTAACACCTGTTATCTTAACAGGTCGTGTCGTGTCACACCCGTTATCTTAACGGGTCCTTAACAGGTCTGGTCACTTTACCCAACGGGTAAAATGACCCGACCCGTTATGACCCGTTAAGAAAAAAAAAAATATTTTTTTAAATTTGCACATACCACACATTGCCACATAAATATTACTTCAAAACATTAAAACATTTGTCGTTTAGGTACTATATCTACACTCGAAAATAAGAGCCTAATAAAAAAATAATACATACACTACTAATCTATTACAAATATTAAATATGCAAGGATATGCAAGATGAAAGAGTTTTTGTTTTCAAGATTGTAAGTCTTTCTCAAAAGTTTACACCTCCATCTACAAAATCTTCAATTTACATCGATCATCATGAAATTATATTGAAACTTTGGCTTGATCTATTGCCTTGAAGAGTTATGTTGAAGATGTTTTCAGTAAAGTTTTCCACGTCAGAACTTTTTTCCGCATAAACTAAGTATAGAAAAACCAAACATTAAAAATCATTCAAATTTTGAGAAGTTTACCAAAATAATTATGAAAAGAAATAAAATAATAATACTATACCATATAAATATATATTAAAATAACAGTTAAATCGTGATTTTTCGTATATAACCGTCAAAAAGTTTTGTCCCGTTACTTGATCTCTAAATATTTGTTTTTTGTGATTTTTTGTTGATGTGATCTCCAAGCATATACAAACAAGTCTGACGGTTTGGATCATTGAAATTAGTTTTGGAGAATTCGTATCCCAACAAAACGATAGATTGACTAACACTTAAAATTTATTTATAATTTCATTAAGTATAACATAAGATTTTGTGGTATCCACTTGTGTAAATATTTTAAATTGAAGATAAAATTCATTCATTGTATTCATATAGGGTCAAGGAGTGTACCTGTAAAAAATCATCAAAATCAGAGTTAAAATAACCATTAAATCGTGATTTTTCGTTTATAACAGTCGAAAAGCTTTGTCCCGTTACTTGATCTCTGAATGTTTGTTTTTTGTGATTTTTTGTTGATGTAATCTCCAAGCATATACAAATAAGTTTGATGGTTTGGATCGTTGAAATTAGTTTTGGAGAATTCGTATCCCAACAAAACGATAGATTGACTAACACTTAGAGTTTATTTATACTTTCATTAAGTATAACATAAGATTTTGTGGTATCCACTTTTTAAATATTTTAAATTAAAGATCAAATTCATTCATTGTATTCATATAGGATCAAGGAGTGTACCTGTAAAAAATCATCAAAATCGAAATAAAAATAACCGTTAAATCGTGATTTTTCGTTTATAACCGTCGAAAATCTTTGTCCCGTTACTTGATCTCTGAATGTTTGTTTTTTGTGATTTTTTGTTAATGTGATCTCCAAGCATATACAAACAAATTTGATGGTTGGATCATTGAAATTAGTTTTGGAGAATTCGTATCCCATCAAAATAATAGTTTGACTAACACTTAAGAGTTTATTTATACTTTCATTAAGTATAATATAAGATTTTGTGGTATCCACTTGTGTAAATATTTTAAATTGAAGATCGAATTCATTCATTGTATTCATATAGGGTCAAGGAGTGTACCTGTAAAAAATCATCAAAATCGGAGTTAAAATAACCGTTAAATCGTGATTTTTCCTTTATAACCGTCGAAAAGTTTTGTCCCGTTACTTGATCTTTAAATGTTTGTTTTTTGTGATTTTTTGTTGATGTGATCTCCGAGCATATACAAACAAGTTTGACGGTTTGGATTGTTGAAATTAGTTTTGGAGAATTCGTATTCCAACAAAATGATAGATTGACTAACACTTATAGTTTATTTATACTTTCATTAAGTATAACATAAGATTTTGTGGTATCTACTTGTGTAAATATTTGAAATTGAAGATCGAATTCATTCATTGTATTCATATAGGGTCAAGGAGTGTAGTTATAAAAAATCATCAAAATCGGAGTAAAAATAACCGTTAAATCATGATTTTTCATTTATAACCGTCGAAAACTTTGTCGCGTTACTTGATCTTTGAATGCTTGTTTTTTGTGATTTTTTGCTGATGTAATCTCTAAGCATATACAAACAAGTTTGACGGTTTAGATCGTTGAAATTAGTTTTGGAGAATTCGTATCCCATCAAAACGATAGATTGACTAACACTTAGAGTTTATTTATACTTTCATTAAGTATAACATAAGATTTTGTGGTATCCACTTGTGTAAATATTTTAAATTAAAGATCGAATTCATTCATTGTATTCATATAGGGTCAAGGAGTGTAGCTATAAAAAATAATCAAAATCAGAGTTAAAATAACCTTTAAATCTGATTTTTTGTTTTTAACCGTCGAAAAGTTTTGTCCCGTTACTTGATCTCTAAATGTTTGTTTTTTGTGATTTTTTGTTGATGTGATCTCCAAGCATATATAAACAAGTTTGAGGGTTTGGATCGTTGAAATTAATTTTGGAGAATTCATCCCAACAAAATGATAGATTGACTAACACTTAAGAGTTTATTTATACTTTCATTAAGTATAATATAAGATTTTGTGGTATCCACTTGTGTAAATATTTTAAATTGAAGATCGAATTCATTCATTGTATTCATATAGGGTCAAGGAGTGTACCTGTAAAAAATCATCAAAATCGGAGTTAAAATAACCGTTAAATCGTGATTTTTCCTTTATAACCGTCGAAAAGTTTTGTCCCGTTACTTGATCTTTAAATGTTTGTTTTTTGTGATTTTTTGTTGATGTGATCTCCGAGCATATACAAACAAGTTTGACGGTTTGGATTGTTGAAATTAGTTTTGGAGAATTCGTATTCCAACAAAATGATAGATTGACTAACACTTATAGTTTATTTATACTTTCATTAAGTATAACATAAGATTTTGTGGTATCTACTTGTGTAAATATTTGAAATTGAAGATCGAATTCATTCATTGTATTCATATAGGGTCAAGGAGTGTAGTTATAAAAAATCATCAAAATCGGAGTAAAAATAACCGTTAAATCATGATTTTTCATTTATAACCGTCGAAAAACTTTGTCGCGTTACTTGATCTTTGAATGCTTGTTTTTTGTGATTTTTTGCTGATGTGATCTCTAAGCATATACAAACAAGTTTGACGGTTTAGATCGTTGAAA